GGTTCATGTGGGATTTGAGGGTCCTGGGGGGGGTTGGGGGAGTTCAGCTGGATTTTGGGGGGCCCAGGGGGGGGTTCAGGTGGGTTTTGGGGGGTCCAGGGGGGGTTCAGGTGGGTTTTGGGAGGGGGGGAACATTTGAGGGTTTCCTGAAGGATTTGGGGGTTCAGGGGTTGAATTTGAGGGGGTTTGGAGGGAGATTTTGGGGGGATTTTGGGGGTGTCCTGGGGGGGATTTTGGGGGTGTTTTGGGGGCATTTTGGGGGTGTTCTGGGGGATATTTTGGGGGTGTCCTGGAGGGATTTTTGGGGTGTCCTGGGGGGGATTTTGGGGTGTTTTGAGGGGATTTTGGGGGTGTCCTGAGGGGGCTTTTGAGGGGATTTTGGGGGATTTTGGGGTGTTCTGGGGGTCTCCCAACCCCTCTTTCCCCCCCCAGGTCCGCGAGTCGCTCCGGGGAGAGGAAAAAGAGCAAGAAGAAGAAACACAGGTGAGGGGGGGAGGGGCCTTCACCTGTCACAGGTGAGGGGGGTGGGGCCACCCAGGTCAGAAGGTGTGGCCAAACAGGTGAAGGGGTGGAGCTTCTGGACAGGTAAAGGGGTGGGGCCAATGAAAGAAACACCTGTCATAGGTGAGGGGGTGTGGCCACACAGGTGAGGGGGTGGAGTCCCAGAGGTGAGAGGGGGTGTGGCCAACCTGACCCCGCCCCCTTTTTTCCCCTCTCCCCTCCCCCTCCAGGTCTGAATCCGAGGCCAAGAAGCGAAAGCACCGGTGAGTGGGGGAGGGGCAGGGGGTGGGTGGGCGTGGCCTTGGCGATGATGTCACTGATGACGTCATCGGTGATGTCACCGCAGCTCCCCCAGCCCCAAGGCCAAGCACAAGGCCAAGGAGAAGAAGCGCAAGAGGTGAGGCCCCTCCCCCGTCCTCAAACCCCTCCCCCTGCCCCCAAATGGCCCCTCCCCCTCTCACCGTGCCCCTCCCCCTTCCGCAGGTCCACCAGCCAATCGCAGAAGCCGGAACGTTCTTCCTCCCCCGCCGGCTCCTCCTCCTCCTCCAACTCCTCCCGCAGCAGGTAAAAAACACCCCCCCGAGCCCCCCCCCCCACCCCCAACCCCCCCCCCCCACCCCCCCCCTGACCACGCCCCTCCCCCCACCCCCGCAGGTCCCGCAGCGCCACGGCCCCGCCCCCGGCCCCGGCCCCGCCCACCCAGCGCCGCGCCCACCACGAGGAGGAGGAGCCAACGCCGGCCCCGCCTTTGGCCCCTCCCCCGCCGCAGGTGAGCTGGTGCCGGAGGGGGCGTGGCCTCGGGGGAGGGGGGCGTGGCTTCCCCCTTAGACCCCGCCCTGGTGTTTTTGACCCCCCCGATAACCCCATTTTTTGGTGTTTTTGTGTTTTTTGCAGCCGCAGCAGCAGCAGCAGCAGC